GGGTTTTGAGGTCCCTTCCAACCCAAACCGTTCTATGATTCTATGTTTCAACCCTGATTTGGAGGCACAGTTCACAGAAGTCAGGCTGCCCAGGAACGACATATTCTCTACCCTGTTCTATGCATCAGAAACACAGATTCTTGTGAAGATCAACACATGAAAACTACTGGACTTTGAAATTAAATTTTATAAACAGTTCTTTATGGTCAGCTGGTGAGACCAAGGCAGAAGCAATCTCATCTGAGAAAGAATTACTGAATAAAAGACAATCACTGACAGACCAGAGATGAGAAGGAACCTCCAGCTTCCTGTATACAGCCTCTGGATGAAAGACAACAAACCTTAAAAGATTAGGTTCTTAGACTACATAGAGGAAGAAGATCAAAAGGCTCCCAGCTGACCAAAAAAAACCTTAGAACACCCTGTATTAATGTGAAGTACAAGACAGCGTGCAACTAGCAATTTAAAAATTATATATGACCTGTTCCTGCCAGCTCTAAGACTCCTAGAGGATGGAAGCAGGAAATGTAAGAGCAACAGTGCAGATTGAAGTCAGTTTTAACCTATGGTTTTCTTCTCTTTTCAGACTCGTTGCTACTGTGGAGTAGAATCTTAACATTTACTTTCACTACGGCTCACTGCTGTGGCAGGATGGCTGGCTTTAACACCCCCTGTATAATATGCAAGGCTCTTCTGTCAGGCAGATCAAGTCTCCAGCAATAAACTGCTAGGGTTGCAAGGACCAGAAACATTCTTGGGAGGAACAAAGATCAAGCTGAAATTTCCTCACTGCCAATCATGCTAACTGCCAACAGGGAGATGAGTTTGGGAGACCAACAGGGTACAGCATGGAGACAAAGTCTGCAGTGCAGCTTCACTCCCAGCCTGTCAGTCCCGTCCTGCCCGTCTTGACATTTCCTACGGAGGCCCCGCGCTACCTGGAAGCAAAGGGAAACACTAGATTCCTGCTTTCCATTGCTATTTTCTTGACTGGCAGCCAGTTTTTTCATGGCTTGGATTCTTTACCTAGGACCTTTATAACTGCCAAAAAAGCTTTAATTGTACATGACTACAGAAGCCAGCTGGTCATCACCCAATTTTATACAAGTTAGGAAAGAAAAGAGCACAAGGAGTGTTTGATAGCCTAGAAAGGAAAGAGAAGGGAAAGGGCCAACATTTCTATAAAAAGACTTCAGATGAGTAAGATTTAATCCATGTCCCTGATCAACGGCCAACCTCACCTTCACTGGCATCATGCTCTGTACTTGCTACGTCATCTTCTTCCTCATCTGCACAGGAATCACTAGGTTCAGGTTCAGAATTCAGCTGATGATCATTTCCAATTGCCTTTGCTATTTCCTCCTGGTCTGGCTTGCAATCTTCAAAAACTGTCACAAAGTTACAAAAGAGGAAGTAAGAGAAACCATTAAAAAGCAAAAGGGGAGTCGAAGCCATCCAGCTATCTCAGCTTGCCTTAAAATTTGAAATGTTAGGGCAGACCTGATTGGAGCCACATAAATCTTCACAAGCAATAATTTTTTTAAGTAGATTAAAACCAAATGGAGACAACCTTTAAAAGTCAAAGAGAAAATTCATGCAGGAGCATCTACTGAAATACAGAGCAGCAACCTTCCACAGCATTTTCAGAAAACAGTCTGAGGGGCGTTCAACAAACAAGCAACAACATTGTTTTACAGACATAAAATTGTTACTGTTCTATGA